TAGGGGCGTCAAAAGGCATGACCCTCCTAATTTGGAACAAGCTCTAGCTACGCCACTGGCGATAAGTCCTCCGTCAGTAAATATTATAAGATCGAAATCAAGTTGAAACAACCGCAGGGCGTCATACCAATGTAGATGAAAACTTCTCTTAGCCCGGGGGGGGGGGGGGGGGGGGGGGGAGAGATATCCTACAAATCGTCATACCAATGTAGATGAAAACTTCTCTTAGCCCGGGGGGGGGGGGGGGGTGGGGAGGAGAGATATCCTACAAATCTGTGAAAAAATAAAAAAAATAAGGAAGATGCATACAACCACAACACATTACCTTTAAATATGTTCCAAAAGAAAATATTCAAAAAACTTACGAAATGTGTATTTTTGGAGCACATAAAGAAAGTTTTGATAAACTTCATACACATAAATAGTCAGTAAATATAATATTTTAGATTGATATATATATATATATTTATATATTGCGTATTTTTTATTAAATAATGTGTTTCTCTTGTGTGCATCCTAGCCACGTCTAGTGCTGAGAGCAGTGAGTCCAATGTCAATCCAGCCGCCTACATCATCCCGATAGTAATCCTACTTGTCCTGGCTGTCCTTGGCGTTGTCGTTGTCATCGTTGTGAGGCGGCGTAGGAGAAGTCATCGAGATTTCAAGAAAATGTGTATGACTTTTTAATATGTTTGTTTGTGTAGTTATTCGTGTTGGCCTTAAGTATAATGTCAGTTTAGTGCTCCGTTTAGATAAGGCAGTTTTTAAATATGGAAAAACTAATGAACAATCTTTCTAGTCTCCAATTTTTATTTTATTCGAAGTTATAAACCATTTTGCGAGCATATGATTTTATCAGTAGCTAGTAGTTGTGAGAGGGCGTCCACGAATGTCTAAATGGGCTCAAGTTTCGTTTTTCTTTTACATTTTTTGAAAGGTGGGAAAATATTTCAGAAAAATATTTACCACAAAAATATTGAAAAGTTACAATTTCTCAAATATTGTAAAGTGACTGATTTTGCAATACTTGTTATTGTCGATCATCTAAAAATTCAATCGCCTGATTTAAAAGAAAGATTTTCTGATTTGAAACAAATTGATTTTCGAACAGGGATGTTAATGGATTTGTATAACAGCGACATTGGTTATAATTAGCACATTAGTCAAGATAGTGTCAATAGTAAAATTAAAATAAATTTAAAGAAGAGACTCCATTAACGTACACGGCAAATGGTTATGTGGGAAATCTTGGGATATAGAGCGTCAGTACCTTTCATCAACGATGAGTTTGATAACATATGTGTCAGTTATAAGTAACGTTTATAATTGGGATATATTTTAACAGTGGTAAGAACTCATGGTCAATACATGTCGTGTGCCTACTTTTCTTAGTACTGCTGGAAGAAGTCAAGACCAGACCACCGAAACTAGAGGAGAGCAAAGACAAAGAGGAAGACAAAAGTCTGCATTCTTCCATCTACAACACTGCAACACTGGACACATCGGAGCCCAAGAACAAAATCAAGCCAATCGGTGAATAGGAACTTTTGTTCATACTTTTATTTTTACTTAATTTTAGGATCATGTAAATCTCAGATACCTACATACCAATCTCAGATACCTACATATCTATCTCAAATACCTACATACCGATCTCAGACACCAACATACCGATCTCAAATACCTGAATAACGAACTCAGATACCTACATAACGATTTCAGATACCTACATACCTATCTCAGATACCTACATACCAATCTCAGATACCTACATACCGATCTCAAATTCCTACATACCTATCTCAAATTTCTACATACCAATCTCAAATAACTAAATACCGATCTCAAATACCTACATACTGATCTCAGATACCGTAATACCAATCTCAAATACCTATAAACCGATCTCAGATACCGACTTACAGATCTCAGATACCTAAATACCGATCTCAGATACCTACATACCGATCTCAAATACCTACATACTGATCTCAGATACCAATATAAGCATCTCAGATACCTACATACCGATCTCAAATTCCTACATACCTATCTAAAATTCCCACATACTGATCTCAAATACCTAAATACCGATCTCAAATACCTACATACCAATCTCAGATACCTTCATACCGATCTCAAATATCTATACACCGATCTCAGATACCGACTTACAGATCTCAGATACCTAAATACCGATCTCAAATACCTACATACCGATCTCAGATACCTAAATACCGATCTCAAATACCTACATACCGATCTCAATACCTACATACCTATCTCAGATACCTACAAACCGATCTCAAATTCCTACATAACTATCTCAAATTCATACATACAGATCTCACATATCTACATACCGATCTCAAATTCCTACATACCTATTTCAAATTCATACATACCGATCTCAAATACCTACATACCGATCTCAAATTCCTACATACCTATCTCAAATTCATACATACTGATCTCAAATACCTACATACCTATCTCAAATTCATACATACTGATCTCAAATACCTACATACCAATCTCAGATACCTACATACCGATCTCAGATACCTACATACCTATCTCAAATTCCTACATACCGATCTCAAATACCTACATACCAATCTCAGATACCTTCATACCGATCTCAAATATCTATACACCGATCTCAGATACCGACTTACAGATCTCAGATACCTAAATACCGATCTCAAATACCTACATACCGATCTCAGATACCTAAATACCGATCTCAAATACCTACATACCGATCTCAATACCTACATACCTATCTCAGATACCTACAAACCGATCTCAAATTCCTACATAACTATCTCAAATTCATACATACAGATCTCACATATCTACATACCGATCTCAAATTCCTACATACCTATTTCAAATTCATACATACCGATCTCAAATACCTACATACCGATCTCAAATTCCTACATACCTATCTCAAATTCATACATACTGATCTCAAATACCTACATACCTATCTCAAATTCATACATACTGATCTCAAATACCTACATACCAATCTCAGATACCTACATACCGATCTCAGATACCTACATACCTATCTCAAATTCCTACATACCGATCTCAAATACCTACATACCAATCTCAGATACCTACATACCGATCTCAGATACCTACATACCGATCTCAAATACCTACATACTGATTTGCTTATATAAAATGTTCATTTCATTGTGTGAATAACAGTTAAGAATTTATAAGGGAAATATGGGAAGGAATGCATTTATGATGAAGCAACATAAAATATAAACAGGGAAGAAGAAAACCTGAAGAAGGATCATGCAAAATAGTGGACATGTTGAACAAATTATCTTTTCCAGCACAAATACAAAGACAGACACTGAGCTTGTATAGATATCTCGACAGGAATAAATACGATTTCGTATTGCTCTTCTTCGGGTTTTCCTCCAACCTGTTGATATTTATTATTCATTTATTTCACCGTATTAAGAGTAAAAAAAAAAAAAAAATTGAAAATGTGAAATAAAGAACTCAAAATTTAAAAAGAAAATATGTAAAAATTTCTTTTCCCTTTTTAAAAAAAAAAAACAAAATAAAAAAAAGGAGAAAAACTCCAAAAAAATATATTATTCATTTATTTCACCGTATTAAGAGTAAAAAAAAAAAAAAAATTGAAAATGTGAAATAAAGAACTCAAAATTTAAAAAGAAAATATGTAAACATTTCTTTTCCCTTTTTAAAAAAAAAAAACCACATCAGTAAAAGGAGTAAAACTCCAAAACAATATATTTTAATCACGTGCTATTTACCCTTAGTATGAAATTCATGTTTCATTTTTAGATGTATGGAAATTACATTTACCAGAACCCTGTTTATAGAGAAATGGTAGGATATCCGAATGAAATGTATCCATTTTATTTGACGAAATGTAAACAACACTAAATTCTCTGTGATCGTAAGCAGTGTAATATGTATGTTATATTTCATATTGCAACTCTCTGACTGTATTTTTTATGTTATTTTTCATATTGCACCTTTATTGGGGGGGGGGGGCTTTACTGCGATATAGCATTAGTAGATTGATAAGATATTAATATCCCCATATGGTTTTTCGCCATTTAATTGAACCACAAGAACACTGTTTTAAGTACAGAGGGCTCATAAGTTTGGCGACACTCTGTGAGGTCCTCACGCCCCCCTACACCCCTCTAGTGACGCCACTGATTTAAGTACACGCATTGTGGGTGTCTTGCTAGGTTCTCATCTTTACGATCGATTGCTTGAAGACTTAAAGGTTTGCTGCTGTTAGATTTCTGAGGTCAAAAGTGTAAACCGGTAATTGCAAAGTTTAAATAACCTGTCACTATTGATCAGGTTGTTATTAGAAGGGGGGGGGGGGGTTGTGGAGGAGAGACGGCAATCAGGTTAGGTAAAAGGAGTAGTAGCGTGAAACAAAGTATGGGAGAAGCTGATCAAACAAAAGGGCGCAACAAAACAAATAACGTGTCGGTAAGAAGCCTCAACCGCTCAGACAACTCGCAGTGGACTCACTTTTCCTCCCTTCCGTCCCACTTTGCCTGTAGTTAACCTCTCACCCACTTATGTTCTCTCACATTCCTCTTGCTGTCCTCTTGGACAGTACATTCCTGCTAAGTGTTCATATTTATTTTATTTTGTTTTTATTGTTGTTTGTTCGCTGATGAAGGCTTTATGCCGACACGTTCCTTGTTTGTGTTTTTTGTTTGTTTTTGTTTGTTTTTTTGTGTGGCATCATCTTTAAAATTTGTTTACGTTCTCCCATACTTTGTATCGCTCTTTCACTATCAATCAGTATTTCAGAAAGAAATATGTTTTTTTCGATCAACTTCTATTGAGCGTGGTAACTGAATTTTTTGTTGTTGTCACAACAGTCCGCAAGCCAAAAGGGAATTCCTCCAAGTCGAAACACGCATCTTCAAAAGATGTCGATGTTAAAGAAGATGGTGGCATGGAGGGAGAAACATACGCCCAGGTGATGAAGGTCAACAAACGTAAGTAAACAAACATAAATCGCCGAAATTGTACGCAGCAACCAATCGTAATGGTAAACATTAATGCACGTGATCGTTTCTAAGCCAATGAAACGTTCAGAAATTCAAAGTCACTGCCACGGATATCATTATAAAATGTGGGAACCACTGATGGGAGACAACTGATTTAGTTGATGATCTATGTTCCGCGTGCATGTTATAAAGAGAAATGGGACTTTTAGAGACTGGCCAATCAGAGTGGTTGATAGAGTTTTGTGAGAACAACAAGTTTTGGGAGTTGAACAGCCAAAACATTGTGATTGTGGATTATGTATTAAGATTTTGAACATAAAATTTTGTTCATAAGATTTTGTACAAATGATTTAAAGTGAAAGGAGTGTAGTGAATTATTATAGCACTTGGGAGTGGAGAACGAGTAAGCAAGTAATTGACAAGCTTTGTCGTTTTAGGGACATATGAGACATAATGTACATGGCATAAAGATATATCGTAAATATATTGTGTTGTGTTCTTTTGAAATTGAAAGTAATAATCCATTTTAAAACAAAATCACTTATCTCTGTCACCAACTTCAGAAAAAGTGGACAAGGCAGAGGCGGCCGAGAACATTTACAACAACCAACTGGAAATGGTCAATCTGAACGGACAAAAGTCCAGCCCCGGTACCACTGACCAAACGGCCAGCGATTGGCCTCAAACTGGGACTAACGAAGCAGGGGATGACAACGTTGTCTACGCCAATGTAAGTTGCCAGATGAAATATGTTTAAAAACTAGTATAAGCCTTATGCTACCCCACATGGTCTGATGTAAATAATAATGTAAGTTGCCAGTTCAATCAAATTTTAAAAACTTGTATGCGCCTTTGGCTACACAACTAGTCTTATGTAAATTACAAACTAAATTACGAAGTTAAACACAGACCGATGTATAATTCCTTCATTTGGAGAGGCACGTGTGTGTAGAAGTTACAAGTAGCAGTATTGCTTATGACGTGTGCTACAGAGTTTTGGATTTTGATTGTTCTCGTCACTGGATCCAAAGCTTCTTTTTCCTACGTGAACACATTTCATTCTAGGAAAATAGTTTACTACTAATACCATTTTTAAAACAAAAAATAACTTTGTTAAAACCTGAATATCCTTGTTAAAACATATTATATACACATTTGTTAAAACAAAAACCCCTTTGTTAAAACCAAAATACATTGGTTAAAACCAAAACACCTTTATTATATAACTTTGTTAAAAAACCAAATATCATTTGCTTAAGACCTTAATAACTTTGTTAAGCCCAAAGTAACTTATAAAACCCAAAATACCATCGTTAAAACATAAATACTATTGCTTAAATAATAAAGAATTTCACAACAGATAATGCGTTCAAAAAAAATTAATTCGTTAAAATATTTCATAATGTGTTTTCCATTGTTCGCGAATTTAATAATGATAAAAAAACCTGTCTAGCAGAAGAATATTTCAATGTAGTTTGCCTTTTATGTTCACATGATTGACGTTGGCGACAAACGTGATTAAATGCATTTTTAAAAACCAATAAGTTTCACCAGCAAGGCATTTTTGTTACAGTTGACTTTCCTGTTCACAGACTATCCAAATGTCCAGTCCGGCACTGTCAGAACCGAAAACATCGCCTGAACCCTCCACGAACGTCGCCAAGGGGAACGAAAAATCCGCTCGAACGCTGAGTCCCGAGGGACTCGTGTACGTCAGCGTGGAGATCAGCGCGGGGACCAAAAACCCGGTCATCAAGGAGCACAAAGAACCGAAAGAACCCCAGGCCGACCAGGTGGAGTACACCTCCATAGACCATCTGGCCACAGCGGAGTCCAATCCTGTTGTTGATGACGGACAAGAGTAGTATCTAATACGCTTCGCAGCTTGGGGTACCGAGGGTTCTAAAGTTAATTATCTGTGTTACTTCAAGAAAGATTTATTAGCCTGTTTCTTTTAATCATCCTTTACTGGGTTGCATACGAAAAATCTCAATTTCTTTATTCCAAATTGCTTCAAAATATCTCTAAAGCTTTTTTTTTCATCATTTTTTGAAACATATTTATTTTTTGAAAATGACGAAAGAGTGACATTTTCTGAGAACTCAAAAGCGATTTTTGAAGCTGGGTAACAACCTGCAATTATTCAACCGGAATTGAATTATCATTAGATGCATTCTCTGCCAATGCTATACAGTGTTTGTGAAGTAATTTTTTACTTGTATTGTTTGCTTCTATCTCTAACTAAACAACGCAATATTGATTCTCATTATGGCTTCACTTTATGTTTTTGTGTGTTTTCCTTCGACTTTATGGATTAAAGAAGTGTTATTTTTTTTCCCACCCTCATGTAGCACTGTTTGTTTATAGATTTTATTTGACTTTTAAAAATATTTTTTTTTTCTGTTTAAAATACGCTCATCTAGGAGTGCAAGCCTGTCTAATGTAGTCCAAGTGTAACATACTATGAGTTAAAAGTGTTCTCCTCATAAGCTTTGCCAAATCTCAAGCTACGTAGGTCAAAAAAGGGACTAAACTGCGTCATTAAACAAATTCATCATGACCTCAAAATTTATTTATTTATTTATTTATTTAGGCATTTTTATATAGCGCTTATCATAAAGCTCTAAGCGCTTTACAATTATTAAAACATGTAAAATTAAAATAGATACAAGATATATAATATATGTATATAGACTTATTTCTGAGGTTGTGGTGAAAAGTGTTTAATGGTGCAGTTAACTCCCTTGCATGAACTCCTTAGGCGGAAGTTTGAAGAGTTGGCAAACCTGTTGAGAAGAACACTTTAAATTCTTAGTGTGTTACACTGGGACTACGTTAAATAGATCAGTACAGACAAGAACTTCAATAACTAAAACAGTGTGTTGAAAATGTATATACAAATATGTTCTTTCGCAAATGATTGCCGTTTTTCAGATTTTTAATTCTGAATTCAGTAAGGGTTTTAAATACAGGATGCTCCGCCTTCAATTGTATTTTGGGAATAACTATTGTCTAACCCTTATCTAACCATTGTCTGACCATGGTCTACTCATTGTCTAACCCTTATCTTACCATTGTCTGACCATGGTCTACTCATTGTCTAACCCTTATCTACTCATAGTCTAACCATGTTCTACTCATTGTCTAGCCATTGTCTAACCATTGTCTGACCATGGTATACTCATTGTCTAACCAAACCATTGCCCCTTTTTAAACAATTAAAAACTTTATCAATTTCTTAAATAAACATTTTTTTTTTAAAGTCCATGTATTTCATTGTGTGCTAGCTTTCGCCATTTTGATTGAGGCATTCACATCATTGAATCAGGAGTGTTTAGTATCAAATGAGGCATTTAAATCATTGAATCAGGAGTGTTTAGTATCAAATGAGGCATTTAAATCATTGAATCAGGAGTGTTTAGCATCAAATGAGGCATTTAAATCATTGAATCAGGAGTGTTTAGCATCAAATGAGGCATTTACACAATTGAATCAGGAGTGTATATTATCAAATGAGGCGCTAAAATCATTAAATTAGGAATGTATAACATCAACTGTGGCGTTTACATCATTTAATTAGGCGTTCGTAGCATTGAAATTCTTCAGAAGACTTCTATAATGGTATCTTTTTTGTCCCTCTAAATTTTCAATATTATATTTTTTGATCATCTTTGAGAAGACAAGCTTATCTTAAAAAACACTTTCAGGTAACAGCGTCCCGATCGCCATCCAAGTAGACTTATGTAATAGATTTTAATTCTTAAATAATCTTCATTTGACTGTTTCATTTGACCGTTTCATTCTACTGTTTCATCTTACTATTTCATTTAACTGTATCAATTTACTATTGCATTTTACTGTTTCATTTTACTGTTTCATTTAAGGTTCCTTACGCAGGGAAAAAAAAGCTTAGCAAACCAGAGGTGTGTGTGTATTTCAATATTTACATATCAACTTTACTACTGATAATCATGTTAGCAATACAACTTCCAAACAGGGAATACGCGTATATTTCATTTCGCAGAACATCATCATCATCATCATCAGTGGCACTACAGCCCATGTAGGCTCCTGGCCTGCTTGACCACATCCATCCATAAGGATCGATCCATGCGCAAAACCCCCAACTGGTGTAAATCCTTCTCCACATCATCGCTCCATCTACGCCTTGGGCTTCTGCCTGCATATCACGTTTGCTGTTTTGCATCCGGCATCCTTTCAGTATGTCCCGCTTAGCGCAGTCTAACCTTTTTTTTATTCTTGCGACTATGGGTGGGTCTGGTCGCAGAACACCCCGTCAGCTTTATTATCAACATTTTTGTATGTGACAAAACCTAGTCTACCATTATAGAAGGTACGTGATTCAAATCATGAAATGCGAACTGCAAAAAAAAAAAAAAAATGTCTATTGTAGCTTTTAAATATTTGATAAAATAGTCTATATATGTTATTTTAGTTACCATGTAATATGTGAATCTAATAGTAAAATCATTTCTACATTTTAGCTTCGTAAATGCATTCCAGATTTTTCAGTGGCCTTGTATTAAAATATTGTAGTCAACACTTATTATAATGTGATGTACCATTTACTTATGTAGTTACTTGAATAACATTATATTTTAATCATTTTGATCATTAATCGTAGTTTTGCTAATAAAGACACAATTTTTCATTGATGTTTTATCTTTTGTTATTTACTTTTTCATGTAAAAAAAAAAAAAATCAGTTTCACTCTAAGCAATAAACATAAGCTCAGTCTTTCACATTACATTAATCACAGTTTTACCAACAACATTCATCATTAGGCTTACAGTTAGCATGAAACAACTAGCCCCCCCCCCTCCCCCTCAATATCATTAATAAATGGGATCATCCATACAGTACTGAAAATTTCCACTTAGAAGGCGTACTTCCAAAACTCTCCACTCCACCACCACCACACCCCCCCCCCTCCGAAAACTAGCATTATTTTCAGCATAACGTTGCTGATAAAATAAAATATTATTTTTTTAAATTTAGATAGTATCCCAATAACCATTGGATTTCTTGCACACGTTTATTAACAACTCCAGGCTCAAAGGGACAAAATTTCCACCACCACCCCACCCCCCCCCCCTCCGAAAACTAGCATTATTTTCAGCATAACGTTGCTGATAAAATAAAGTATTATTTTTTTAAATTTAGATAGTATCCCAATAACCATTGGATTTCTTGCACACGTGTATCAACAACTCCAGGCTCAAAGGGTCAAAATTTGCGAGAATGAACAAACACAAACAATCAGTAAGTCGATGAGAAAAAAAATACGTTCACAACTTGGATTATACAACGGGCTGGCGGTGCCAAGCTGTAGCAACCACGTATGACGTTTCCTCGGGTTATTTGCGCGCGTGGAGAGAGGCGATTTACTATCTATAAAACAAACTTATCTTCCTGAAGAAGAATCCCGTGCCCTGTGATTTCGTCCTGTGAAGTCTACACCAGTGTGTGACGTTGTGACGGGGGGATGCGAGTATAAAAAAAGGGAACTATGCTACTGGTGCTCTGACAGCTCTCTGTTTTAAAAGGCACCCCAATTGCTTTTGGCGCCCCTGCTTTTGTGGCAATATTTTCTTTCGGCGCCCTGCACTTGTATTAACTCCGTTAAGAAGCCGACTTGAAGCGAAACTCTGCGTGTCAAACTTGCAGTTTACCTTTCGTTGTCTCTCACACCCCATAGGGACAACAATGTATCTGGGAAACTGCATGGTCAGTAAACCACAGAATCGATCCTAGATCAAGTAGACAGACGGACATGTTAGAGAGTGCTCCGTACTGTCCCAAGCTTGCAGAATTGCAATTTAAAAAAAAAATGTTCATTAAAACAAAAAAAAGTATAATCATGGAAGTAAACGAAATATTTCTTGCTATTAAATTTAGAGACTCGCCCCATATCATTATTCATCCATTTCACACAAGAAATAAATCTAAAGACTCGCACAAAACATCAATCATCCATTTCACACAAGACATATATCAAGAGACTCGTACTATTGCTTCAAATTATCATTTCACACTAGACATAAATTAAGAGACTCGCACGATAACATCATCCATTTATTTCACACAAGACATACATCAAGAGACTCGTACTATTGCTTCACTCTATCATTTCACACAAGACTTCAAATCAAAAGACTCGCCCCATAGCATCAAGCTTCAATTTTACACGTCTCACAAATGAGTAGGCTCGTAAAGTGCCTGGGATGAAAAAAAACCCCCAAAACAAGCATTTCAAACTTCCATGTTAGTTGACTCATTTCCTCTCGTGTTTTTATTTTACATGTTTAGCTTTCACATTGTATCAATCATTTACTCTATCAATCGTTACTGTTGAATTTTTTTTCTTCAAAAAGTGAAAGAACAATGAAATTAAGTTTAATATTAATTATTTTTAAGTTTGATTTTAAAAAAAAATTATTTCAATTGCTGTCGTGCTTAAAATCTAAATATTTCAGTTCAAGTGTCTAGATAGCTGAGCATTTTGCAAATGAAAATGGTATTATGGCAAAGATAAAAAAAAATAATAATTTTTCTCTCTGTTCAGCTGGATATTACTTTCACTGCTATTTAAAGTTAGCAGGCGTCTGTGTTTTTTGGGGTTTTTTTCAAATGTGTTTGCTCGATCTTCTCTATGAAATTCCAAATTGGGATGTCGACTCTTCACATCATGATCAAGAGCTATTGCAGACCAACGCTTCTGAAGCACTGGCGTGAAATGTTAATCGAGGAAGTGATTTAATACGGACTGATATCGAAGCGGAAAATCAACTCAAAAGAGAGTGTCACTATTAGTTAATTCCCTGTGTGCATTGTTAAAAGAAATGTTATCAGCATTGAAGCCAGCATTGGCTTCATGTGGTGTCTGTTGTATTATCATGGCTGTTTGCTTTCTGTCTCCATGCATATCAGGTATGTAAGACCTTTATCAGTGCTCCGCAGTTGAATTCAATGTCTTGTACAATAAATTCCTATTAAAACCTTGTTTGCACCTTCTTCTCCTTCTTCTATATCTTAAGGGCCCACGATCAATTTATTGATCATTTTGGCTCCTATGCATGTAGATGGGATTTGCAATGTTTCTGTTACTGGTGGTGATGAGGAAATTATCGTGATCCCCAAACTTCCGAACTGGCAATAGACACAAATGTGTCTAGTGTTGTCGCCTCAACTGTTCCTTTTGAAAGATGGTTCCAGTCCCTGATTGTCTTGGGCAGGAATGAGCAGCTCCTATACTGGCACCTCGAACACATTTTATTCAGAAAGTGTCGTTTTTTGGGTGTGGATAATCTTCATGAATAGTAGTGAAATACATTTTTTTTATTTGTAGAAAAAACGTTTGATACAACCTGGACATCTCAAAACGAAGGATCTGATCTAAGGCCTTTGCCCAAAATTCAAGAAAGATCGACCCATTTAATATTTTAAACCTACAACGTCTTTAATACTAAAGTTTGAGCTTTTTAAAATACAAGCCATGCTTTAAACAGTTAGCGCTGTGTGAGGAGCGCAACAACACATTTTTATCATTTCGCAATTCAAAGAATGCGTTTTTTGAACTTGTCCCAACAAAGTGCCCGGATATTTAATTGTGTAGGTTATCGTTTCTTAGTTATGTTTTTTTGTGTTTAATTTATTTTTTTTTGGGGGGGGGGGGCGGATTTGGGGGGGGTCAAATTCCTTAATATTTCTTTAGCACGAAAAGACTGAAATAAGGTCATTTACAATTCAGAATAGAACGAACACACACTTTGTGTAGGTTATCGTTTCTTAGTTATGTTTTTTTGTGTTTAATTTATTTTTTTTTGGGGGGGGGGGGCGGATTTGGGGGGGGTCAAATTCCTTAATATTTCATTAGCACGAAAAGACTGAAATAAGGTCATTTACAATTCAGAATAGAACGAACACACACACAACACATGTGTAAACCGTGTCATTTTCATGACACATCAAAGAGACATCAAAGGTGCAGTTAAAAATTTACTTTAAAAATTTAGCTTACATACCCAAAACCTATATGGTCAATTCTATTTCAGTTTCTCAAAGGCCGACCATGTCGTGTCCGGGCGTCCAGGTAGGACAAGCAGGTCGGAACATAACATGTTTGACCGGTGCAGACGCCAGGTCAATATCCTTGTCAAGGAATGCCACCACGTTAGTTCAGTGTAACACAACCTCGTGTTTTGGCGGCCAGGGATACAGTGGTCTGGTAACAGTGAATGATAATAATCTTATCGTGTCTATGACGATTGAGTCAGTTCAGGGGAAAGACGAATCCATGTGGACCTGTCATGTTGATTTCGGTGGAGAATCGAAGGAAGCAAACGAAACTTGTCTGTTATTCATTTTTGGTGAGTTTTTGAACAAATCAAAGAAAAACATGTTTTAGAATAAAGTGTCCAAGACGAAAAGTATATAAATAATTATGTAATTAGGTAGTCCTTTTTAGATAGTATTTATGAAAAAAATGCTTTAACATTTTAAAAAATCAACAAAAAAAAAATCATTTTTTTAAAAATCTGTTTGAAAATAATTATCAAGTTTTATCTTATAAAATTAATGTTTATGACTTGTCCAGTGAAATTGACCTCCGAAAATTAATCTGAGGAGCAACTATCGCAACTATTGAAAAGAAGCGGCTTAAGTTATCAAACAATTATTTATGAAGGTTGTTGCGGCGTTGTCATGCATTTATTTAGAGTAAGATTTAAAATTTTACGTTTCATAAAAAAGAAAATATTAATATTAATTCTTGAGCGAGTTATATTGAGATTTGTAAACTGAAAGAAACATGCTTGAATTAATTAGATTAGTTCTGACTTTAACAAGAGTGATGAATGAATCCAAAATGAGAATTTGCCAGCCTTTTTCTTTTAATGTAAGTTTCTTGATGAAATGTGTGTGTGTCTCAGTGCCACCAGAAAAGCCAGTGTGTGATCACACGTTTAATGAGAGTCACGTTCTGATCACGTGCAGCACGGCAAAGGTTTACCCCAGAGCAACATGTCGTTGGAACGCGTCCTCTGTACCTAAGGTTTGTATTCATTTCACATATCTTTTGTAACCAGTTAGTGTTACATTTTTTTTTGGGGGGGGGGATGATTGTATGGCCTTACGGTCACTTTTGTCACCACAAGAACTTTCTACAAAAGATTGGGCTGGAAATAAAACTGCTTGCAAACCTCAACTGTCTTGTGATGGTGGATCTGCTAAATGGGGACCTTCTTATTCTACATAAAAACATCATGGTATTGCAAATTTTATCGAAAAACAACACAAACGTCTTCTATTACAGAAGGATGTAAAAACAATGTATTTTAATGATATGCTATTTTTCAGAAATAAATTACTCAATTTTAATTTCATTTCAAATTACAGCTAAACTCTTTTTTAAATACATCAGATACATGATGAGTTATTTACTTTATCTAAGTATTTTCTGATTGTTGTATGACGATGACATATACAATAAATCGATCACATTCATGTGCTATTCAAAGGTCAGGCCAAGAAGCTACTCACACCACGTTTCTAATGATTCAGTCTTCATCTACAACACAACATGTACAGCCGTCTTCCCAGTCACCAACCAGACAGAGTACACACTACAGGTGTCATTTTATCCTGCCGGCTTTCAAGATGACGACATCTCGGGTGGTGCCGCTGTAGAGACCCAGGAGATCGTTATTACAGTTGGTGCGTACTCGCATAGCAATGAACCATGTCTTTTCATATGACTTGCACACAACTGATTCATCAGACGAGCTTCCCATGATGTGTCGGGAAAACTAATTTGAGTAAACGCGTTGAACATTGCGAAACGTGATACCCTTATAACGTTGAATAAATTGTTTTTTTATAAAACTTACTTAGAAAAGAATCCTCTGGGACTTAAGTAACTGAACGATACATTTATACAAATGAAAGGGACGGGTTTTACTGAAAACGGAAGTAAACACTACGTCTTTGATTAGGATATTTCAAACCAACCGACAAGTCCGAGTTTATGACTCAAATTGGAAATGGTAATTACAGCTTTGTACTATTAAAGCGTATATTCTCAAACTACCAAATTTTTAAAACATTTCTAGGACGTGTTGGAAATAAATACTCTCCAGATGAGGAATAATATTATTTATTGGAAATAAAAGTACAAATTAAAAAGGGAAATATATAGTTTCAAACACGTGTTTCTGCATGACAATTTATTTTTGCACATAACTTTTTAGATGTTACGTGATCAAAGAATTGTTATAGTTTAAAAGTTATTAATGGCCGGCTCTAGACAAATGTTATTATAATCAAAAAGATTTTCTGAAGGAAGTTGGCAACGAAAAAATGTCCCGAAATTCAACTATTTTACATTTTGAACTAAAATGTATAAGGCCTTCGGGATTTAATAGAACTGCATAAATTGTATTCACAGCGCCACCGAAAGGAACTCCATCGCTGGTGGTGTCACCGAATCAGGAGCAATACACGGAGTTAGACAATGTCACCATATCTTGTACTGTACATGGTGGAAGTCCACCCGTGTACAGGACGTCGCTAGAGTGTGACACAGAGTTCATAGACAAAGGGTCGGGCTCAAACAATGTCACAGCTCAAGGTCATGTTGCCAAGATGGATGTTCAATTAAATGGCGAAATGCACGTGAAATCCTGCACTTGCTCCGGTAGCCACGTGACGTCAACGTATCAGTTAGTAAACAAACTGACATTTGTTGCAAATGGTAACACAACTTCATAGCTTATATTTTTTCTTAGACAAAAGGTGGACATTCGTCGCGACGGGTAACAGCGATGAATGGTTGAAGTTACTGGAGTAGGAAATGTTTTTTAAAATATTTTATTTCGTTTTAAAAAATATAATTAATTTAATCTTACTCAAAAGCATAACTTGTTCGAAAAGTAAAAATTAAATCATTTATGTGTCAGATAGTCATAAGGACAATAATGAATTCAATGTCTCAGTTAATAACAAAGACAACCATGAATTCAATGTCTCAGTTAATAACAAAGACAACCATGAATTCAATGTCTCAGTTAATAACAAAGACAACCTAGAAATCATTGCTTTAGAAAATCATAAACACAACCTAGAAATCATTGCCTTAGAAAATCATAAAGAAACCATAAATTCATTGTCTCAGTAACTCATAAAGACAATCATGAATTCATTATTTCAGATAATAGCGAGGACTCAATTGAACCCAAGCGTAGCAATTCGTCACATGGTTCAGGACCACTTAGAAAATACACTTTGCGTATAACATCTGGGCACAATGGTAATTCCATGTTTGCTATCTAGATATAAAGTTGAAAATTATAATACATTGTAAAGGTCGCGATATTTGCATTGCTATATCCTTAACGTTGTGTGAGACAGTTTGAGACGCGGCTTCCTCGGTAACCTGGGCGCAAAGAATCTTAAAAAAATATTCAAAATCCTTCAAAATCATAAAACAAATCGCTACTTCATTGTGCACTTGTCAAAATAAAATATAGGACCCCGTGGGAAAACAAACCTGTATTCTAGAATGGCGCTACAGCTTGCAAAAAAAAAAAAATAATAAAGAGAATCTGAGGTAAAACGAGTTTAGACTTTCCCCATTGATGCGTAGCCCATTTAATGTGTGTATAACTAATCAGATGCAGGATTGTTCCAGTTTTTTTTTTTTAATGGAAATATTGTAAGATTCTCCCATCAAAATATTTTAAGCAATGTTTGTAACGCTTTTCAATCTTCTCTATTACTTTGGAATCACTTTAAATAGAAATACCGTTAAAAGAAATTTGCTTCTTATGATTTTTGTGGAAAGTTCTGCAAAAATTACCAAATATTAAGATGACCAACAGATTTACCTTCATTCATCAAACAGTTAAATGTTGATCTTGAAGTTTTATAATGAATAGTATCAGCATTCATCCCACTCAAATGGATCTCAAAGTAGATTTTAACGTTTTTTATGAAATTTTTTTTGGGGGGCTGGGGGTGTTACAAGTGCATAAGAGTTTCCGAATTCCTCATTGTTGTATAGTTATTGTTATTAGAAATAGACTGGTTTAGCCGGAGGGTATCCCAGGATGAAATAAAACAGTCCTTTAGATTTTTTAGTATACGCTGAAGTTAATTACTATTTTGTAGGGGTTGATACATGATTATCTGCATGCATCCTGGTTGTACGAATAGGATGTGGTCGTCACAAATGGTGAGATGTCGATCATGATGAAGTATTTTTAAAATTCATTTTTTTTTTAAAAAAGATGTGTTCCTCGGATTTTTTTAAGTTGGAAGAAAATCATTTCCGGCCATGAGAAATACCTGGACCCGGAGTTCAACGTTCGTGTTCTCTTCTATGAGTCAAAGACATTTTTTTTTTGGTACAAAATCAGGATTTAGCGCTGCGGTTAGGTCGGTCGTTAACAATCAATGTAAGTGTCTATTGGTGCACACAAATGAACGCCTTTCTTGTTCGCGGTGCGCAAGCTAGCTTTGCTCTTTACACCAGAACATTGTGTTGAGTCGTAATTTGCTTGTCGTCTGAACGTTGTGAAGCGTACCGTTAGTGAATAATCAATCCCAGACCAGGGTTAGAAACCTTTTTTTTTTAAAATAGATGCCACAGTTTTTGGGAATGAAAAGTAAATTCGCAACACCTTAAATAAATTATACTAAAATCCCATTCTTTAATGAAACTGAACGAAGAAATAAGCTATTTAATCTATTTTAACTACTGGAAACGGAACTTCTGTTAGTGTTTACTTAAAAATTTGTCGGTTTTTTTAAACTTGGGTTCTAAAAACTTTCCTAAGAAAATAAATATTTTAGAAACAATTTTTCCTTATTCTTAGAGCTACCAGTTTGCCCGAAAAACCTAACAATAAAACTGACTTCACCTGATACGGTCTCCTTATCATGGAAGTACGGCAGCCATGATGGATTACAGCCAACGTTCACCATATTTAGACACGACGAGAGTCCAGGGGGGTCACAGGACAGCAGAACAAAAGTGGCTGAAGTAAATGGGACAAAGGAAGATGACATGGAGTACAACATCACGGGGCTTTCAAAGCTGAGCCGCTATAGTTTCTCACTGGGTGTCAGGAACAAAGCCGGGGAGAGAGCATGTCCGGAAGTTAGCGTGAATGTTACCACAGACGCTGGGGAAGGTAAGTCGACTACAATTCTTTCAATTAGATATTACACAACTAATACAACTGCAGTGTCCTTACGATGATCACACGATTTGAGTTTATTATTATATTATTTTACCTGTAATTTTTGTTTGAATTAAATGAAAATTAAATAGCATCTAAATTATTTGAAGAAAAATAAAATATTTCCTGTTTGTAATTTAAAATATCGCATATTTCCCATTGCTAATGTACCTTTTTTTTTTTAAAGTTTAAAAAATATATATATATGAGCTTTGTCCATTAACAACAAAGACAAATGTAATTCATTTTGTTAAATGGTAATTTTATTTATTCATAACAGTATTAATAAATTTCTAATATCAATTAAGAATATTTCACTTAAAATTTTTGTTTTAAACTGTTTTGAAATAACCGTACGTTTATATTCCTCAGTCTCAACAGCTATCATTCCAATGAGGCGTTCTGGTCCAAATGCAGTTCCGATCATCATTTCTATTGCCTGTCTACTACTTCTCGCCATTATTATCGTCATCATTGTATTGATAATCAGAAGGCGGCAAGGTGGCTATAAGACAGGTGTGTCATTTATGCTTACCAGGTTGAATTTGATCGGGTTTGACAGAACTCAGTTAAATAGTTGAAGACTTTACCAAAATAGGGTGTCTTCGGAGCAGTCTACCACTAGAACATGGTGCCATCAGTGCAGGGTGCCATCAGAACAGGGTGCCATCAGATCAGGGTGTCATCAGCTTAGGGTGCCATCAGATCAGGGTACCATCAGAAGATGGTGTATTCAGAACATGGTGCCATCAGAACAGGGTGCCATCAGAACAGGGTGCCGTCACATAAGTTTGCCTTCAGAACAGGGTTCCATCGCATCAGGGTGCCATCAGAACAGGGTGCCGTCACATAAGTTTGCCTTCAGAATAGGGTTCCGTCGCATCAGGGTGCCATCATAGCAGGGTTTTTAATCTCTCCCAATAGCACTGAAAAACCCTACAAGTATTTATCATGGTCTACATTTTCTGCGGTTTCACTTGAGAGGAGTTTTTCAAAACTGAATAGTATTAGAACTATTTGCGCTTTACGATGGAACATTTCCAGGCCTTCTGGTCTTGCGATTTTGTCAATTAAAGGAAATAGGGTGATGACTGGTGATTTTGATGAAGTAGCTGACATGTTTGCATCTTTGAAGACCAGTGGGGGAGGGGGCGGAAAGGTTTTACTGTTAAGTAAATGTTTCAATACAATACAATTTTTTTAAAGGGGTTTTAAACGCTTTCCAAAGGCATTATATGATGTCTTCTCATGTCTTTTGTTGCTTTTGGACTTGCTTTACAACAATAATTTAAGCAGTTCTGTATGATCCAGATAAGAATTAGTCAGTGCAGGTCCCGGGAAGGGGGTGCGTAAGATGTGAGCGCGGTGGCGGGACACCATGAGTTTGCAGCATGGGATGACACGCAACCCTAGTGAGGCTTCTGGTCGTAACTTGTTGACACATCCTCGAAAGGCTTATGCGGCCCAATCCTGGGGTGACAGTCTCAGATGCAGTGTTTGCAAGAAAACCCTAAAATCTGGTTTACTCTGGCCTTACGTAAATTAAATGTAAGATACATGTTCATCACGACACATTGTGTTTAAACACTGACACATCTCAAACCTAGCAATTTGAACTGTATCACGTTACTGCAACGAACACTGAGCTTTTACGATTCTCAACAACAATTTATAAAAAAATAATAAAAGTATACGTAACCACTGGATATATTAACAAATGAAGTGTACTGTTTAAAGATCGATTGTTTAAAGCAGCAAGAAAGAACAGTAATAATTTTATTAAAAATACATTAAATAGGCCATTGACACAACTATCTTAAATATTTTGGATTCTAACAAAAAAGAGTCAAATTGTGATGACTGTTTCAAAATAAAACTAGAACTCGGTAACGAAACAAACAAACAAAATAATACTTTGTTCAAAACGCAAACGTACACTAAGTAACTCGGTTTTTTTTTTTTTTTAAACAAAATTTTTTCGGCAAATGTCTTATCAGACTAATTTTAGAAAGCTACGAAAAACTCTTATAACAAAGATTTACAAGACTGAAAAAAAAACGTGTGCAAATAGCAAAAAATCAAAACATGTTATCTTATGATAAAAAAAAGTCTGTAAACAGAGCAGGGTGTCACAAGAGCTGGGTTGTTGTTTTTTAATCTCTCCCAATTCTGTCATTACGCCTACAATAATTTATCACGGTCTCCGTGTCTGTGGCATTCCGTGGGATGAGCTTTTCAAAATAGGTTACATTTGTTGTTACGTACCGTTCTAATGAGTAGAGAATTTAATCTCTTTTTTTTACTGCATTGCTTATAATAAAATAAGACATAACAAAAGAGGATACCATGAAGTACAAACAATAATAAAGAACAACACCCAAAACAAGGGCTAATTGCAAATAATTAATTAATTAAGTTTTTTTTTTTTTTAACTGATGATGAGTAAAGATCTTTGGTACCATTCAATAAACACATATTTCGATCCCTCTTTTATAGACTTTGTCGTAAGTCATTTATAGATACAGTTGTATGCCATTTAAAAAAATTGTATGATGTTATAGACAAGGTTTGATGTCTTTATAGATGAATGCCATTTTAATCACAGTTTTATTGCTTTATATACAGTTGTATGTCATTATAGACACATATGTAGGTTATTATAGACAGAGTTCTAAGCCTTTATGACACTACAGTATGTCATTATAGATACAGTTGAATGCCTTTAAAGAACAAGTGGATGTCATTACATTAAAGACCCAGTTGTATAAATGACCTTCATTTTCAGGTCATCACTCCTCAGTCCCAACCGTTGACTCCGCTCACGTCAATGCAGCTTACACGGAGTGTGTTCCTACAGAGCCAAACGTTGAACACCCGTACCAGCAGTTCGTCCCTGACTCATCAGGTGACGTGATTTGGACATCCACAGACGATGGATATTTGCTGCCCAATGACTGTGTCCCAAGCGTTGAACAAACCAACGCTGACGGTGCCCTGTTCTTAAGCCAGCTTCCCGTTTCTTCAAACGAGTCAGAATACGAACAACTGGAGGATCAGATTTTCAGTTAACAACAGCCACACTTAATTAGGAACTGTGTTAGCAAAAAAATGCAGGATCTGTGAAATAGCGATGTTAGACTTAAAAAAGAAAGATCTAAGTTTTGGTAGACTAAACGTAGTGACGTATGCTTATTTCTATTGGCATGTCGTTGATATTAATAGATCACGCAATGGAGTGATGCTGAGATGTCAAGTTTAACCTTTGCCCGTCTGTTGTGTTGAGATTTCAAGTTTCACCTTTGCCCGTCTGTTGTGTTGTGATGTCAAGTTTAACCGTTGCCCGTCTGTTGTGTTGAGATGTCAAGTTTAACCTTTGCCCGTCTGTTGTGTTGTGAAGTCAAGTTTAACCTTTGCCTGTCTGTTGTGTTGAGATGTCAAGTTTAACCTTTGCCCGTCTGTTGTGTTGCGATGTCAAGTTTAACCTTTGCCCGTCTGTTTTGTTGTGATGTCAAGTTTAACCTTTGCCTGTCTGTTGTGTTGAGATGTCTAGTTTAACCTTTGCCCGTCTGTTGTGTTGTGAAGTCAAGTTTAACATTTGCCCCGTCTATTGTGTTGAGATGTCAAGTTTAACATTTGCCCCGTCTATTGTGTTGTGATGTCAAGTTTACCCTTGCTCCTTTAATTTTCTGATTCATTCATGTTCCCTAAGCAGGATATAAAGCTTCAATAAATCAACTGTGTGTATGTATGTCAATTCCTACATATCAACTTTACAATTGATAATCATGCAGTAGTACAATTTGCAAAACGCGAGTATAAGTATTTTTAATGCCGCAGAACTTCCTATTGGCTTTCTTTAATAGCACAATTTATGTGTGGGACAAGTCCTAGGCTACAATTCTGGGAGGTGCATTATTTCAGCGTATTCACAATATCCTCATGTCGTACAAAATCAACTACAAAAATGTCGAATGATGCTTTTAACATATGATGGAATAGTCTGAACTACGTCACTTATATATTCATACAAAACGTGAATCTAATAATGTAATCGTTGCTAATATTCATACAAAACGTGAATCTAATAATGTAATCGTTGCTAATATTCATACAAAACGTGAATCTAATAATGTAATCGTTGCTAATTGTTAGCCATCATATGTACATTGGTGTACTTCATTCAATGCTAAACTATCACTTTATTGAATAGTGTATTACAGTTGACGATTATTAAACTTGGCATGTATCGTTTATTGATGTAAATACTTTACTAAAATCACATTTTAATCATTTTGATGTTTCTGTAGTTTATAGTTTTGGTAATAAAGACACAGTATGTTACACTGATGATTTAATCATTCCATTATATTTTTCATGTAAAAAAAACAAACAGCTTCGCCAATAGCAATAATCATTAGGATCCCCCTTAGGATTGGTCCCTGTAATCAAGCTTATATTAAGTGTTAATTAACGACCATGAGACTTAACCATAGCATTGATCTTCGCTTCACCCACACTATTCATCGTCAGACTTACCCACTGCAATTATCTTAGCTTCACCCACGCTATTCATCGTCAGACTTACCCACTGCAATTATCTTAGCTTCACCCAGAACATTGATCATCAGACTTATCCATAGCAATTATCTTAGCTTCACCCACTATACATCATTAGACTTATCCATAGCAATTTTCTTAGCTTCACCCACACTATTCCTCATTAGACTTATCCATAGCAATTTTCTTAGCTTCACCCACACTATTCATCATCAGACTTATCCATAGCAATTATCTTAGCTTCACCCACACTTTTCTTTTTAGAAGATTACAAATTTGACATAAAATCTGTTAAAGGAAAAGACAATGTTATTGCAGACATTCTAAGCAGAATGACAACAAATACAGACATTCTGTAAAAGAAAATAGGAACTGGACTTGGTGGGGCCTAAAGAAAATAGGACAGGCGGAAAGCTAGTAAGAAAATAGTAAGAATAAAGAATATTACGTTACTTCGCGGGCCGCCAAGTTGGTTCTGGCGGCCCATAGGTTGTGCAGGCCTGATCGATGGTATTGATATCAGTCCCATTCAAGGCAAACATAATGTGCCTCACTCATATCTTTAGTCATGAGATTCATGCATACTGATTCATCCAGAGCATTTATCATCAGGCAAAATGATTAATTTCATCCAGGGCGTTTACTGTTTGGCTCACCCATAACATCAACCGTCCATTTCACACAAGGCTTAAATCAAGAGACTCGCCCCATAACATCAACCGTCCATTTCACGCAAGGCTTAAATCAAGAGACTCGCCTCATGACATCAACCGTCCATTTCACGCAAGGCTTAAATCAAGAGACTCGCCCCATGACATCAACCGTCCATTTCACGCAAGGTTTAAATCAAGAGACTCGCCCCATAACATCAACCGCCCATTCCACGCAAGGCTTAAAACAAGAGACTCTCCCAATGACATCAACCGTCCATTTCACACACGGCTTAAATCAAGAGACTCGCCCAATGAGATCAACCGTCCATTTCACACACGGCTTAAATCAAGAGACTAGCCCCATGACATCAACCGTCCATTTCACACAAGGCTCAAATCAAGAGACTCGCCTCTTCCTGGTATCAACCATCTATTTCACACGTGTCACAAATGAGTTGGCTCTTAAAGTGTCCGGGGTGAAAAAAACAATCCCTTCAAACTTCCGTGTAATTTGATTGATTTCCTCTGGTGTGTTCCTTATTTCACAAGTTTAGCTTTAACTTTATATCGACCATTTCAATCATCGCTTGTTGACTTCTTTCTATATTGAAGTAACAATTAAGTTACTTATTGTTCATAAATATGTTTTCCAAATGTCTTGATGGCTAAGCATTCTGCCACGTAAATGGTATTATGGCATAGATAAAAAAATTTAATTAGTTCATCTTTTAAGCTGGGTATTCTATTCACAAGTATTCACAGTTATCAGACTTTGTATGGTGTGCTTGAGCTTAACTATAGAAATTCCCCAATGAGCTGTCGACTCTTCACATTTGGGTCAAGAGTTATTATAGACCAACGCTTCTGACGCACTGACGTGAAACTTTAATTCAGGAACTGATAATAGTATCACTATATAATTTCATTCACTGTGTGCATTTCTTAAAAATGCAATCAGCACTGAAGCCGGCATTGTCATCGGAGAGCGTCTGTTTTATTATCATGGCTGTTGGTTTTCTGTCCTCATGCGTATCAGGTATGTGAGATCTTTATGAATACGCCATGATTTCATTCAAATGTCTTGTAACATAATTTTACACCAGAGGCTCATTTGCGCGTCAAACACATTTCCTTGAGATGGTGTTTGCGCGTCAAACACATTTCCTTGAGATGGTATTTGCACGTCAAACACATTTCCTTGAGATGGTATTTGCGCGTCAAACACATTTTCATTGAGATGGTATTTGCGCGTCAAACACATTTCCTTGAGATGGTATTGGCGCGTCAAACACATTTCCTTGAGATGGTATTTGCGCGTCAAACCCATTTCCTTGAGATGGTATTTGTGCGTCAAACACATTTCCTTGAGATGGTATTTGCGCGTCAAACACATTTCCTTGAGATGGTATTTGCGCGTCAAACACATTTCCTTGAGATGATATTTGCGCATCAAACACATTTCCTTGACATGGTATTTGCGCATCAAACACATTTCCTTGAGATGGTATTTGCGCGTCAAATCCATTTCCTTGAGATGGTGTAGTTTTTGTCTTTGAATAATCTTCATGTTATAAAAAAAAAAGATTGTATTTTTTAATGGGAGTCGCTTAGTCACTTCCTTGTTTGGTCACGTGATGTGAGTAAGCCATCACTAGGCTGCTACACACAACAAGAGATACTTCATCAGTGCTTCCCCAATGTCATGTTACTTAAAAATGTTACCTTTTGTAATATTCTGGAATACATGCGTTTTTTAAATGAAATCCATAAATGTGACAATAAATATACGTCAGTAATGATTAAAGGAAGAAAGTTATTTCAAGAAAAATTTGTGAGCGGTATTCGATGGGAACTATCAATACTATTATCGGCAGGATGTTGTTGAGCTCCGTGCGTGCTCATGACGTCATTTGCGTTTTTATTCAATATTGATGCAGGAGTCATTCCCCTTTGTTTATTTTATTGTTAATTTTCATTGGACGAAATGTAGTGTAGGTGTAGTGTGTATCGGGCTACTGTTGTCAAGCACTAGTGTGTTGTATACATCCTACCGGAAGTCTTACTTGTTTTTACTCTCATCACGTGATAAATCAATCGACTAAGCGATTCCCATTTTTAAAACAACATTTAGGAAATCCCAACATGAAAGGTCCCATACAGCGCCTTTAGCCAAAATTTGAATGAATACCGTCCCATGCTATATTTTAAACCTTTAACGTGTCCAGAACTACAGGCTGCTGTTTAAATATAAAACTTGCTTCAAACACTTGAGGCTATGTGTTACGAATCTGATATTATAAAAGTTCGTTTGTCTAGGGGTTATTCCTTTACCTAAAGAAAACGAATGCTCCATTAATCGAACGTCTCTTTCTTCAAATATAATACCTCCGAAAATCTAACACTTCAGCACAGCCATTGTTCCACACCATAACATCCACTTAAACGTCCGCCATTTCCCCTACCCTAAAATACGTCACAAAAGCTCAGCATACTAGATAAAGCTACACATATACTCTCTACACTAAAGATTTTTTTTTACATACCAACCATTCATGCCCCTGAATCTAGTTCACAACACTATTTAAGGAACACACAAAAATGTGCTATGTCCAAAATCAAAGAATCCGTTTTTGCGCTTGTCCCCACAAAATGCCCGGATATTTAATTGTTCAGGTTAACGTTTCTTGGATATAATTTTTTTTTTTTTAAATTCCTTAATATTTCATTCGCACGAAAAGACTGAAATAAGGTCATTTACAATTCAGACTAGAAAGACCACACACAACACATTTGTAAACAGTGTCTTTTTATTACGCATCAATGAGACCTCAAAGGTGAAGTTAAATATTTACTTAAAAATTTAGCTTACACACCAACACCCAAAACATATATGGTCAATTCTATTTCAGTTTCTCAAAAGCCGACCATGTCGTGTCCGGCCGTCCAGGTAGGACAAGAAGGTCGGAACATAACATGTGTGACCGCTGCAGACGCCAGGTCAATATCCTTGTCAAAGAATGCTACTACGTTAGTTCAGTGTAACGCAACCTCGTGTTCTGGCGACCAGGGATACAGTGGTCTGGTAACAGTGAATGACACTAACCTTACCGTGTCTATGACGATTGAGTCAGTTCAGGGGAAAGACGAATCTATGTGGACCTGTCATGTTGATTTTGGTGAAGAATCGAAGGAAGCAAAAGCAACTTGTCTGTTATTCATTTTTGGTGAGTTTTTTAATGAAATCAAAGACACAAATGTTTTAGAAGTAGTGGCCAAGACAAAAAGTAGATAAGTGAATATGTAATTTGGTCGTCTTGTTTTTAGATAAGATTTATGAATAAATGCATTTTTTAGATACGTTTTGTTGCTTTTAAACACCAACCCTTTTTTTTCAAAATTGTTTGGAAACAATTCTCAAGTTTCATCATGTAAAATCAACGTTCAGGACTAGTAAGCGACAATGACCTCCGAAACTTGATCTCAAGGGCATGTATCGCAGTTAGTGGAAAAAGAAACGGCTTAGTTCATCAAACCATCATTCCAAGATGTTGGTGTAGTCTTGAGCGAGCGTATGATTTAAAATGTTTCCTTGTAATGAAAAGAAATAAATGTTCACATAACACCTTGAGCGAGTTTAATGCGATTTGTAAACATGCTGGAAAGAATCAGATGAGTGCTGACTTTCACAAGATTGTCTTCGGCAACGAATCCAATATTAGAAATTTCCAGCCTTTTTAATATCTTTTTTTAAACGGAATTTTATTTATTAACTGTGTCTGTCTCAGTGCCACCAGAAAAGCCAGTGTGTGATCACACGTTAAATGAGAGTCACGTTCTGATCACGTGCAGCACGGCAAAGGTTTATCCAAAAGCAACATGTCGTTGGAACGCGTCCTCTGTACCTAAGGTTTGTATTTCCAACTTTTAAGGGGGATTGTATGACCTTACGGTCGTTGGGGGCAAAATTAGATTGACATACAAAAGATTAGGCTGGAATAAATTTCGGATCGCAAACTTTCATTACAATTTGAGGGTGGATCTGCTGACTGGGGACCTTCTTATTCTACATAAAAACATCATGCATTTGCAAATTTTATCGAAAAGCCACACACACGTCTTCTATTACAGAAGGATGTAAAAAAATGTATTTTGTAACATAATATGTTATGTTTCAGAAATAAATTACTCAATTTTAATTTCCTTTCAAATTACAGCTAAACTCTTTTTTTAAATACATCAGATACATGATTAGTTATTTTCATTTATTTTAAGTATTTTCTGATTGTTGTGTGACGATTACATAAGCAATTTATTGATCCTGTTATTCACATGCTACTCAAAGGTCAGGTCAAGAAGCTACTCACACCCCGTTTCTAAAGATCCAGTCTTCATCTTCAACACAACATGTACAGCCGTCTTCCCAGTCACCAACCAGACAGAGTACACACTACAGGTGTCATTTTATCCTGCCGGCTTTCAAGATGACGACCTCTCGGGTGGTGCCGCTGTAGAGACCCAGGACATCGTGATTACAGTTGGTGCGTACGCGCAATAACAATGAACCGTAACTTCTTTTTTTTTTTACTTTTACACACCGCTAATTCATCAGGCAAGCTTCCCATAATTAGCTGGAAAACTAATTTCAAGAAACGGGTTTAAAATGGTGAAACATAATACCTTAAAAAAATGTAGAAGAAATTGTTTATTAAACCTTATTTGAAACATAATATCTTTAAAAATGTAGAAGAAACTGTTTTATAAAATCTATTTGAAACGTAATACCTGGGGTCTTAATTAATTGAAAGATACAGTATATAAAACTTTAAGGGGGGATGGTGGTACTGAACACGGAAGTAAGAAGTGAATCTTGTTAAGATATTTCAAAATAAACGCCAAGGCTGAATGCATGACTCATATCCTTAATGGTATTTAAAGTATTGTATTATTAAAACTTATAATCTCTACTGACTTGAAATATTTGATTGACATATTGCAACAATCAAATCCTTGATAAAGATGTAATATCGAGCAATGGAAAGGGGTTTTTTTTTTTGGGGGGGGGGGGGGGATTTTTTACAATACATTCATATAGGTAACGCAGGTTATCAAAATCCTAATGAGTTCTCCCCCCCCACCCCTCCCCCCTTAAGACTCACACATTTTTTTTCACGACCTTGAACTATATTAATATTCTAATGCCCCATGCCATTTTAAACTGCAGATTTACTTCACGAACAATTTTTTTTTAAAAAAAGAAAAGAAAATATTACGCACCAAAAGTACGTGCGATACTTATTTAAAATAATTTGATTTAGCGCCGTTTTCCGCAATTTTATTTTAACTTCCGCTTGAAAAACGCGCCAAACTGATTTGTTGGGGCAAGGGATTAAGGGAAGAAAAAAGGGGGGGGGGGCGCTAAATTTGTGGAAGTGTATGCTGTCATCAGCACCGTGTCTCTGTACCGATGTTCAGCGCGATAGATTGACGGGAACTGGATCAGTTAAACGTCAGAAGATTTTTAGCCAGGCAGTAAGCCACCCACGAACAAAGACGAAGTTAGTCAAAAAGATTTTTAAAAGCTTCTTAAGATGAGAAACAGTAATGAATGGAAACACAAGTAAAAATGCGATAGGTCATCGTTTTAAGCACGTGTCGATACATTACACTTCCCCATAACTTTCAAATGTGACTTAATCAATGGATTGTTACAGTTTAAAAGGGATCAATAGCTAGCTTTATGTAAATGTTTTCGTTAACGAAAAAGAAATTTGAAATCAGTGGGCGATGAAAGCAAATTCCCGAAAGTAGACTATTTTACATTTAGAACTCAAGTGTATAAAGCCTACAGCATTTAATATGTTTTTATAAATTAATTGTATTCACAGTGCCACCGAAAGGACCTCCATCGCTGACTGTATCACCGAATCAGGAGCAATACACGGAGTTAGACAATGTCACCATATCTTGCACTGTACATGGTGGAAGTCCACCCTTGTACAGGACGTCGCTAGAGTGTGACACAGAGTTCATAGACACAGGGTCGGGCTCTAACAATGTCACAGCTCAAGGTCATGTTGCCAAGATGGATGTTCAATTAAATGGCGAAATGCACGGGAAATCCTGTACTTGCTCCAGTAGCCACGTGACGACAACGTATCAGTTAGTAAACAAACTGACATTTTTTGCAAACGGTAACACAACTTCATGGCTTATAGTTTTTACTTTTAAAAAAAGGTTGGACATTCGTAGAGACGGGTAACAGCAATGAATGGTTGAAGTTACTGGAGTAGGAAATGTTTCTAAAGTTATGTTACATTTTAAAAAGTAATTAATAAATATCCTCAACAACAAAAATATTTTTTTTTTCAAAATGAAAAGGGAATCTTTTGTGTCTCAGTAAATCGAATAGACAACCATGATTTCATTGCCTTAGTGAATCATAAAAAAAAACAAAAATTCACTGTTTCACCAAGTCATAAGGACAATAATGAATTCATTGCCCCAGTAAATGATATAGGCAACCATGAATTCATTGTCTTAATTCTTCATAAAGACAACCATAAAATCGTTGTTTCAGTAAATCATAAAGACAATCATAAATGCATAGCTTCGGTAACACATAAAGGCAGTCATTAATTCATTGTTTCAGCAACTGATAAAGACAATCATGAATTAATCATTTCAGATAATGGCGAGGACTCAAATGAACCCCAGGGTAGCAATTCGTCACATGGTCCAGGACCACTTCGAAAATACACTTGGCATATAACATCTGGACACAACGGTAATACCTTTCTCTGTGTGCTAAGTGATATGAGGTTGAAAACACTTTCAATACACTGTAAAGGTTGTGACATGGCCATTGCTATTTCCTCAACATTCTGTGAGTCCGTTTGAGACGCGCCTTCCTCGGTACAAATGGCGTAAAGAATCATTAAAAATCATTAAAAATCAATTAAAATCATTCAAAAGCGCATCTTCGTTTTTCACATTATAAAAAAATGTAGGACCCCTTGAGAAAACAAACCGGTATTCAATAATGGCGCCACTGCTCGAAAATAAAAAAAGTGAATCTAGGGTAAAACAAGTCTAGAATTTACCTAAGTCACGTAACCAATTTAATCTGTGTATTACTAATGAATTCACACCTTTTACTATGGACGCCGCATTGTTTCCTGTTTAATGTTTAAAATGTCAGGATTTTTCAGAGTCTCCCATAAAACTATTTCCTAAGACATATTTGTAACGCTGTTCAATTTTCTTTATCATTGGCAACTTAAAATTAAACTTCTTTTGGAATCACTGTTAATAGAAATTCGGTAAACTGACATTTGCTTCTTTTAATTTCCGTGGAATTTATACACGTCTACTGCAACCGACTGCTTAATGACCAGACGTATAACGAACGTATGATTTTTCTATCATCAAACTATTTCATGTTACTTTTTTTTTGAAGCTGCATTACAGCTTCAAAAAAGTAACAGGAATAGTTAGAAATGGACCAGGTGGACAGGATTGATTGGTATCCCCGGGGGTGTAATATAACATTGCCTTAGATTTTTAGTATGCGCCGAGGTTAATTATCATTTTGCATGGCTTGCTACAGGACCATCGGCATGATTCCTTTGGAGCAGTAAATAGATCGTGTGTGTCATAAGTGGTGAGATAATTATGAAGGATTTGTTATTATTTTTTTTATTTTTTTTGGATAGATGTGTTCCTGGGATTTTTTTTTTTTTTTAAGGGTGGAAGAAAAGCCATTCGGGCGATGGGAAATACCTGGATGCGGAGATTCCCATTTGCGATTACCTCCTATGCTTCTATGTGTTATACAATTATTTTTTTTTCAAATTAGGATTTCACACTGCGGCTAGGTTGGTCATTGACATTTAATGTAAGTTCTTTATTGGTGCACCAAAATGAACGTCTTTCCTGTGCACGGTGCGTAAGATGGCTTTGCCCAAGACAAGAGAGCATTGTGTTGAGTCTTTATTTGCTTGACGTCTGAACGTTGTCAAACGTATATATATTCAATAAACATTCCTAGACCGTGGTGAGAAACGATTCCCAAAATCAATACTTCAGTTTTTGTAAATGAAAAGTAAATTCACCACACCGTTTATAAATCATACAATATCCACGATGTAATAAAATTTAATGAAGAAATAAGGTGTTCAGTCCTACTTGAACCACCAAAGGCGGAACTTCTGCTAGTATTTACTTAAAATTGTGTGAGGTTGTTTTTATTTGTGTTCTGGAATGTTCCTAAGAAAAGGTAAATATTTTAGAAAACAATTCGTTCTTTTCTTAGAGCTACCAGTTTGCCCGAAAAACCTAACAATAAAATTTACTTCACCTGATACGGTCTCCTTATCATGGAAGTACGGCAGCCATGATGGATTACAGCCAACGTTCACCATATTTAGACACGACGAGAGTCCAGGGGGGTCACGGGACAGCAGAACAAAAGTGGCTGAAGTCAATGGGACAAAGGAAGATGACATGGAGTACAACATCACGGGGCCTTCAAAGCTGAGCCGCTATAGTTTCTCACTGGATGTCAGGAACAAAGCCGGGGAGAGAGCATGTCCGGAAGTTAGCGTGAATGTTACCACCAAAGCTGACGAACGTAAGTCGATTTCAATACATTCACTACATTACTTTTGTAATATATCAGACACAACAGCAGTGTTCTTACTATGCTTACTGGAGTTTGTTTTATTACTTGCATTATTTGAATCGTATCTTTGTTAGAATTAATAAAAAATGTCATAGATTCTAGGTTATATTTTAATTTTTATTTTTAAATATTTGTTGTTTTTAATTTAAGATAATGCTTATTTCCCACTGCGAATGTTGCTTATTTATAAGAAATCATAAAAGAACATTATTTCTTGAAAATATGTTTTTATTTATTAACAACAAATTAAATAATTGTAGTTTATATATATATATATATATATATATATATATATATATTATATATATATATATATATATATATATATTTAACGGTGATGTTAATCATAAATGGAAATAGTAATACATTGAAACATAGCAATCAAGAAAGTCTTTAAAAAATATTTTTATAAACTCATTGTTGTTTTATAGAGGACAATACCGTAAAAATAGATAACCAAGATGGAGGTGGGGGGGAGGCTACTGTTGCGCATGTCCGGTTCTGTGGACTGTGAAGTGTGTACTGCGTACAACCAGGACGAGCATGGAGAAACTGGTTGCTTTTTTGTATTATGTACATATCATTGTGTTACCTTTTTTTCTGAATAAAAACATATAAACTTAACACACTTATTGAAATAACCTCACGTTTTTACTCGTCAGACCCAACCACTATCCTTCCCACCAGTCCTGCTGGTCCAAATACAGTTTTCTTCATCATTTCTATCGCCTGTCTACTACTTCCCGCCATCATTATTGTCATCATAGTCGTCATAGTCAGGAGGCGGCAAGATGGCTATTCAACAGGTGTGTCCTTTATGCTTAGCGTTATCCCGATTGAAAAATGTTTATTTGACAGGGTTTCGATCGAGTTTGAAAGAACTCAGTTAAACACTAGAACAGGGTGGACAAGAACAGGCGGCCACGAGAACAGGGTGCCACCAGATCAGGCGGCCACGAGAACAGGGTGCCACCAGATCAGGCGGCCACGAGAACAGGGTGCCACCAGATCAGGCGGCCACGAGAACAGGGTGCCACCAGATCAGGCGGCCACCAGATCAGGGTGCCACCAGATCAGGCGGCCACGAGAACAGGGTGCCACCAGATCAGGCGGCCACGAGAACAGGGTGCCACCAGATCAGGCGGCCACCAGATCAGGGTGCCACCAGATCAGGGTACCATCGGAACAGGGTGCAATCAAAACAGGGGGAAACACAAAACAAGGTGCCCTAGATTACTTTGCTACACTTGCACGTTAATACCAAAAAAGGGTTTCACGCGACAGAGCAGGGTGCCATCAGAGAAGTCTGCGAACAGACCAGGTTGTCACCAGAACTGGGTTTTAAATCTCTCCAAATCCCTCTCATTAATCCTACGACAGAGCAGGGTGCCATCAGAGAAGTCTGTGAACAGACCAGGTTGTCACCAGAACTGGGCTTTAAAATCTCTCCCAATCCCTCTCGTTAATCCTACAATTATTTATCACGGTCTCGGTGTCTTCGGTTTCATGGGAGAGGAATTTATTTCTTTTCAAACTGAATCGTATAAAAAACTATTTCCAGGCTATTTCTGTGTTGTTGTTTTGTTGTTGTTGTTTTTTGTGTGCTATATTTTCAATTGAAAGTGATAAGGTGATGAATTATGATCTAAGGATGAAGTTATTAACCTGTTTGCTACTTTGAAGGAACGTTTGAAATGTCAAGTTAAATTTTAATACAAAAGAATTCTGCTGCAGGTGTTAAAATCTCTTTACATACACTACATTCCCACGTCTTTTCGTTGCGTTAAGACTTACTTTACAGCAATACCATAAGCCAGCGATTCTCAGCATGCTGGTCGCGAGCCCATTGGGGGGATCCGACCGACCCTTACGCAGTTTTTGAAAAAGACCATCGGAATACGCATATTTACGAAGTAGCAACGAAAATAATGTTATGGTTGGGGTGTAATCACAGCATGAGGGACTGTATTAAATGGTTGCGGCATTGGGAAGGTCGAGAACCACTGCTGTAAGCGGGTTCTGAGTGATCTGGATAAGAATTCATCGGTGCACGTCCGGGGACAAGGGTCACGTGACATCGTAGGGCGGTGGAGTGACACCATGAATTTACCACACCGGCACTATTTTTTTCTCTATTCATTAAGGGAAATGATCGGCCAACTGCAGAGGGTTAGTTTTTTTCATTTTTTATTTTATTATTTTTTTTTGTGTGTTGATAAATGGTTCGGCAGAAATCTAGGCCCGCCTCTCACGGCACTAGACCTGGCCATGGATGTT